TTGAGTTACCAAGCTATTTTCAGTCCAGTAATATGTCTTCAAACATTTGGGTACTTGTTAAATGCCTCTGTAAACAAATTGTTAACCACCTGCTTTTCTGTGTGGTCTGTGTGAGCTAATATCTTATCACTGTGGGCAGATATTTCATTAAAATAGAGATCTAGGAAGCTGGAGAATAACCTGTGGAGAATTCTCCTCCTGCCAGTTCTCTGCTTCATCCCTCCCAACTAATAGATAGGAATTACAATTCTGATCTGTTCTGAAAAACACCCAGTTTCTGGTCCAGTACTTACTCCTCTTGCTTACGTTCTGTCCCTCGTTGTTCAGTTAATACATTGCTTAGTCGCCTACTCTGGTCTTACACATGTCACATGCCCAATCTCTAAAGCTTTGCCTGAGCCCTTGATTGTAACCTGCTGCTGAGATTGATCTCCCATATCCCATGGCTGATGCTTTGGTGTTCTGGACGATACTCAGCTAGTTTTATTTCTTCTCTGATGGTGCCTCTTAGACATTATTTGTGCTGGCCTTATCCCATCCCCTCTCAGCTTGCAAGTGTTAGTGAGCTTTTGGCCATACTTTCTTTCTCATCCTGCAGTCTAAAACTTTGGAATTTGTGGAGCCTTGATGGGTCATGCAGTTATATGGCACATGCATTGTTAAGAATAGTGATATTTATATGCCCCTTAAAACTTCATACAATCCCTTTTGTGCAGGTTTCTCCTGTACTCTGTCTCCCCTCCTTGCCCCAGTGCCTTCTTGCTAGTAAAGTATAATTTTTTTTTTTTAATATATTTTATTGATTTTTTACAGAGAGGAAGGGAGAGAGACAGAGAGCCAGAAACATCGATGAGAGAGAAACATCGATCAGCTGCCTCCTGCACATCTCCCACTGGGGATATGCCCGCAACCCAGGCACACGCCCCCGACCGGAACCGAACCCGGGACCCCTCAGTCCGCAGGCCGACGCTCTATCCACTGAGCCAAACCGGTCTCGGCAAGTATAATTTTGTGTGTGATCTTTGCTGGTGCTAATAATGCCAGTGCACATCGTTTTCTACTGGTGAAATGTTGTTACACTTGAAAGTAAATGGCTCTTTTCGTGCTGTATTTTTCTTTGAGTAGCTCATTAAAAAGAAAATTTAAGAATTTTAAATAATTTTATTATTTTTTTTGAGCTAGGTGAATCTTTCTAAATCAGTTTTTCAGGTTCATTTTCCATTCAGAGCTTTAAAAATTTGGAAGTAGAAAAGATCTGACACTTAGCCCATTCATTACCCTCACACATTTCAAAAGAACGGCCACAACTAGGGGATTATATGTGATAAAAATCTTTTTATGGTCCAGGGTCCATAAATAAGAACTATTAAGAATTGTGAGGAAGAGAAAAGTGTTGTGTGTTTGTTGCCAGTGTCCCAAAATTAAGGCATTAGAGGCCTGAACTTGAGTTCTACTTTCTATGTGAAGATTGATCCCTGCTCCCCAACTTGGCTCACACTCTGCGCCTCAATGCTCCTACTATTCCCATAGATGTACACGTCTGATCTAGGTAAGGTTGCAGAGAATCTGTGAGCCCCTAAGAGATAATTGTATTTAAAAAATTTTTGTATCTAAAATTATTTGTGATTATATCTGTAAATGACATTTGGTCATTTTTTTTTCTTTAAAAAGAGTATTAGCCTGGCTGGTGAGGCTCAGTGGTTGATCGTTGACCTATGAGCCAGGAGGTCATGGTTCGATTCCCAGTGGTGGCACATGCTGGGGTTGTGGGCTGGATTCCTGGTGTGGGCCTGTAGAAGACAGCTGATCAACGATTCTCTCTCATCACTGATGTTTCTATCTCTCTCTCCCTCTCCCTTCCTCAGTAAAATAAAAGAAAGTATTAAATAGTGCTTTTTAAAAATCTGATGTAAAACTTTGTCTTCTGTCTTCCATCACTTCCTTCCAACCCTGCTTCCCAAAGGCAAACACTTTGAATTGTTTCTTCTTATTAATGTTTTGCTCATTGCTTGTCTCCAATACCTTGAATAGTGCCTGTTTGGACAACTAATATCTCTTGGTTGAATGAATGAAAGGTTGTCCTTTCTTTGTTTCCATCATGATAGTTTATTATGCAACTAGTGGCCTGGTGCATGAAATTCGTGCACATTAAAAGGGGATTAATTAGAGGAAATATTTTAATATTGCTATTTGCCCATTCTCTATAATAGAAGTGTCAGAGATGAAAGAAAATTAGTAAAATGTATATGAAAATCTTCCTCCTGTCAGAGTCTGGGGCGCACCACGGGACCTAGAGTCAAGTCCCCGCCCACCCACCTCAAAATCGCGTGAGACCCAGACCTGGCCGCCTTCCGTCCCCCATTGGGCTAGATCCAGACCCAGCTGGTCCCACCCTTGTCAAGCCCCGCCAGGCAGGGGGGCGCAGCCTCAGGTCCCCTGGTCTGGCGCCGAGGCGGAGGGCGTGGCCTGAGGTCCCCCGTCAAGCCCTGCTGGGTGGGGGGCATGGCCTGAGATTCCCCATCAAGCCCTGCTGGGTGGGGGGCATGGCCTGAGGTCCCCCAGCCTAGTGTCAAGGCGGGAGGTACGGCCTGAGGCCCCCCGTCAAGCCCTGCTGGGCGTGGGGTGTGGCCTGAGGTTCCCCATCAAGCCCTGCCAGGTGGGGTGTGTGGCCTGAAGTCCCCTGTCAAGCCCCACAGGGGCAGGGGGTGGGGGCGCAGCCTCAGGTCCCTGCTGATTGCTCGTTAAGGCTCTTTACGGGAATTCGGCCTCTGCTGTGGGCGCAGTCATCTTGTGTTATGGAACCACACACACAACCCCCCCCCCCACCCTGCCTCCGATGTGGGCGCAGTCATCTTGTGTTATGTAACCACACACACACACACACACACACACACACACACACACACACACACCCTGCCTCCGATGTGGGCGCAGTCATCTTGTGTTATGGAACCACCACCACCACCACCACCCCGGCCCCCCCCCCCCCCCCCCCCGTGGGCGCCGCCATCTTTGTGGTGGAGTGGCGGTCAATTTGCACATTCCCTCTTTATTATATAGGATTGTGGGTTGAATATCAGTTTTCCTCTTAGATGGCATTGCTCTACCATCTTATCATACAATGTTGCTGTTCACATGTGATTCCACTAAGTCTAGTTTTTTTGTACATGACCTATGTTTCCTTTCTGCAAATTTTTGTGATCTTCTCATATTAGCACTTAAAACATTAATTATGCTGGGAATTAAATCTAGACATTCATCTTGCTCAGTAAGGGGAAATTTTCTTGAATCATTTCTTTGAGAGGTCTTCCCTCTCCCCTGTCCCCCTAAGAAAGGTAAAGAAATATGTTTTCTCTGTTGGTTCTTTCTGGAATTTTATTACTGGGATGTTGAACTTCATGAATGTTCTTTATTTTATTTTTTAAAACTTTATTATTATTATTAATTAATTTATTTTTAATCCTCACCCGAGGATATTTTCCCATTGATTTTTTTTTTTTTTTTAGAGAGAGTGGAAGAGAGAGGGAAAGACAGAGAGAAACATTGGTGTGAGAGAAACACATCGATTGGTTGCCTCCTGCCTGTGCCCTGACTAGGGTTTGGACCAGGGAGGAGCCTGCAGCTGAGGTACATGCCTTTGCTGGAATTGAACCCGGGAGGGACCCTTTGGACCGCAGGCCAACGCTTTATCCACTGAGCCAAACGGCTCAGGCAGTGTTCTTTTTTTTTTTTTTTTTTTTAATATATATTTTATTGATTTTTCACAGAGAGGAAGGGAGAGAGACAGAGAGCTAGAAACATCGATCAGCCGCCTCCTGCACATCTCCCACTGGGGATGCGCCCGCAACCCAGGTACATGCCCTTGACCGGAATCGAACCCAGGACCCTTCAGTCTGCAGGCCGACGCTCCATCCACTGAGCCAAACCGGTTTCGGCTCAGGCAGTGTTCTTTATTTAAAAAAAAATCTTTAGTTATTTATCACTTTGTCTTAATGTTGTAATTTCTGGGAGATTTTCTTAGTGTTACCTTCTAATCCTTCTATTAGTTTTTTATTTGTGTTTTCTAATTTGAAATGTGTTATCCTATTTCTTGTTTTCTGATTAGTCTCTCTTTTTAAAAAATCCTCACTTGCAGATATGTTTCTGTTGATTTTTTTTTAAAATATATTTTATTGATTTATTACAGAGAGGAAGGGAGAGAGACAGAGAGCTAGAAACATCAATGAGAGAGAAACATCAATCAGCTGCCTCCTGCACATCCCCCACCGGAGATGTGCCCGCAACCCAGGCACATGCCCTTGACTGGAATCGAACCCGGGACCCTTCAGTCCGCAGGCCGACGCTCTATCCACTGAGCCAAACCGGTTTTGGCGTTTCTGTTGATTTTTAGAGAGAGAGAAAGGGGGGGGAGAGAGAGAGAGGGAGAGGAGGGGGGGAGGAAGGGAGGGAGAGAGAGAGAGAGGAGAGAGGGGAGGAGGAGGGAGAGAGAGAGAGAGAGACATCAGTGTGAGAGATAAACATTGATCTGCTGCCTCCTGTATGGGTCCAAATCTGCAACCTTGGTATGTACCCTGACCAGGAATGAAACCCCGCGAGCCTTTGGTGCATGGAAAAATGCTCCAATCAACCGAGCCACCCCAGCCAGGGCTGACTGTTCTCTTTTTAAATGGAGTGTCCTGTTGTTACTGTTTTGTAGATAGACTTCCAACCCTTCCTTCTTGTTATTTAGCTTTTGCCCCACTCCTGTTTCTCCCAACACTTGGCATCTTTTCTGAGCTACTCTGCCAGGGCCCATCTGCCATTTTTAAATTGCAGTTCTTCTTCTTCTTTTGAAGCTATGTAACTTAATTTTATGATTGTAATTCAGATGAAAAGCTAAATATGTAAATTTAACATTAATTATATGAAGAAAATATTGAATGAAAGTTTTTTGTCTCTCTTAATATCCAGATAGATATTGTGCTTTGTAATAATGAATTCTTTGAATTTTATTTGTGTAGAAGAAATTGAGGAAGAATCTGAAACAACCATTGAGGCTGACTTGACTGATAAACAGAAACATCAGTTGAAACATAGGGAACTCTTTTTGTCTCGCCAATATGAATCTCTGCCTGCAACACATATCAGGTAAGAACTTTTTAAGAAGTCGTTAGTATTCAGTAATATCATGACAATTAAAAAACACACCAAGCGACCTTCTTTGAAGCATTTTCCAAACTCTGCTCACGATCTTGCTCAAATTAGTTTACTAAATACTTCATAATGGAATCTTATCTTGAAAATTTATAGTGTGCCTTTGCATATTAAAGCCCTGAGAATGTTCTGCAGTAAAGTAACCACGTAGCTTTATTTTAATCTTGACTTTCCCAACTTATTTGGGTATCTGTTAGCATCCTCTATAAAAGTGTCCAGGAGACACCCTGCATTTTGGGAAATGCTGGTCTTTTCCAGAGTTCTAGAACATTATAGAGTCACTGGAGGCCCAGTGCATGAAATTCGTGCACAGGTGTGGTCCCTAGGCCTTGCCAGAGATTGAAGCGTGAGTGTCTAGCATGGAAAGGCAGGTCCCAGCTGACCTCTGGGCCCTGGGCAGCACCTGGGCCCCCAGGCCCCAGTGCGCCCCCCTCCACCTGAGTCATCGGGCCCCGGCCCGGCTCCCTCAGTGCCTGGGAGCCGGGTGGCAGCCCTGCACCCTGCTGCCGCCACTGGTCGCTGTGATTGGCGGGGCGATCGGGCCCCGCTTGCACCTGCCTTGGCCTGGTGCCGCCCGCTCACCTGCTCTACCATCCCGCCATGGTCCCGCTCTCGTTGGGGCCCATTGAGGCCAGCAGTGCCTACACTGCTGCCAGCATCGAGTTGCCGACCCCCACCATGTTCCGCGCCGCTCCCTTGTGGTCAGTGCATGTCATAGCAAGCAGTTGAACTCCCGGTCGAGGGGACAGTTTGCATATTAGGCTTTTATTATATAGAATAGGATTAGAGTCCAAGAACTAGGACCCAAGATCTGGTTCCTAGGGCAGATGACCTTTGATCCTATAGAGTATATGGCCTTTTATTTTTCTTTTGAGGACCTCTGGGCTAAAAACTTTATATTCTTTATTACTTACTTGCATTTGCTTTGTGCATTAATAGGTTGTAAAAGTGGGAAAATTCAGTCTTGGTTTGTAGTTTGGGAAGTTGTGGAGGAGTGATGGTGGTTTTATATGATCTGCTGATAGTGGTATCATTTAAGCACACACGGTTAAGCTGTTTCTCACTGTGGTTTATAATAGGTGCATCTTGGAGGTGTAACAAAATGTGTGAACTAAAAAAACAGGTAGTTACACACCTTTAGGATCAGGAAAACTGGGGGAGTTGGCATTTACTCAGCCTTTGAGATACTATGAGACATGTTTCAGGTAGAGGGAAACAGGTGAGCTTAGATGTGCAGGGAGCAGAATGTGTCCAGGGTGATAGGTGTGAGAAAATGCAGTGTTTCTGTCTCTTGAGGTAAAGAAATTCCTTCAACTCTTGTTCACAATCTTTATTTATTTTATTCAGTTCTCTTAAAAACTATTAATATAAGGAGTAAACTATGTTATATGTTAACTATTTATTTCAGTAATTGCCCCTCCCTCCTCTTTAGCCTTCAATTCAGTATTGTATTTAAATCTGCCTTTTTGGGATTAAACAAGTTTGATTTGGCCCTTGTAACCACACACACACACACACACACACACACACACACACACGCTCGCGCGCATGCACCTCAACTCCAAGGACCTCTTTTCAGAGTAGACATAGAGATCTTCTAAGGTAGGAAATGTATGACAAAGATACTGTAATTCTTTTTCCCCCAATTCTTTTAAGAAATGTTTTGATAACCCCCTCAATATAAGTTAACATTATACTGTTGCTTTATTTAGTTTGTTGTTTTTTTTTTAAGGAATACTGTGTTTAGATCGGCTACAGTTAGTATATTCTGTGTGAATTAGGTCCTTTTTCTGAAAAAGATAATTAGGCCAGATAAATTGGATAGTCATTTTACCCACCAATTAGGGGTATTTCAGGAATTAGGAGAGTAAGTTAATTTTTGCTCAAAAAGATAAAATGTGAAAACCTTTAATCATTTTCTTACAGATGTATGTAACTAATAAATGCTAAAGAGCCATATGAATTGATTATTTAATTAGAAGAAGCTAGAATGTAAAAATTCATTTTAAGCTCAAGAAGTTATGTGGCCAGTTTTAAAAATCTTGCCAGTACAAGAATGTGACAAATGGTTTTTAAAATGTAACCAAAACACACAAGTATATTTTTAATTTACCCTCCTGATAGCTTAGAATCTGTTTACAAGTAATGCTAGTTTCCTTTAACAGATTGCTTGGAAGGGAAAAAGTGATGTGTTTTTCATCTTTCATAAGGACTGAGAGAGTATATTGAAATATAATTATCAAGACACCCTGTGTTGAACATAGAAATTACATGGTATATGTGATCAGTCACTGTTGAACACATTTCCTGAGAATATTCCAGATTGGGTAGTTTACTAGGTGGTTGGTAAGTAAGACAAGGTCCCTAGCTCATAAACTCAAGAAGGAGTTTATCAGGTGGCAATTCTTTTGAATTATGATGGAGACACAGGCATTTGGGACTTTGTTTTCTTCCCCAAATTAAAAGGGACATCTGTAGCTTTCATCTTTGAACAGCTGAATGGGGTTTGGGGCAGTCTCTGGCCAAAGCATGGAGTCGTGCTGCCCAGCCCTCATGCTGATGTGGAACAAGTGCACGTTGAATGCGATCTGACATTTTGCTCCTGTTGAAGTCATGCCCTATCTATTTCTGCTATAACAGGAGGAAATTACTGGAGCCCCATTGTTGTTTGGCAGCAAAGAGGGCTCATTGGGTTGAATACTGGCTTTTTAGTCTCAGGGACATTATATGTGCCCAGATTTTCCTTGTGCCATGTGGAGCATAGGAGAAAACCTGACTGAGGTATTCCTGAGGTTCTTTGTAATTTGTGAGCTATAATACTGTAGTTTGAGATGCTATGAGCTTCTCAGAATGACAGGGAAGCAACTCTTTGTTCCTTCTGATTCCCTGATTCCACTGGAAGAGAGAGATCCGGACAGTTCTGGGTAGGGTTAGTGATTCAGCTCTTGTTGTGAAATACATAGGACTTGAGCAATGAGAATGCTTTGGGAACTTTTTTGTTTAGACAAAGGGAAGAGGAGCATGCTTCACACACAGTGTCTTAAGCCATTAATAATAAATTATATATGCTGCATCCATTTTATAAAGCACTATAAAATGGATTGTTAATGCCAGCTACGAGACCTGTTGTAAGTATATATAATACTATATTCAGTCATATATAGCCCATGTTTATTGAACTTGGCTTTTAAAATATCTAACATTTATTGAATCTTTATGATCACTGTTATCCCACTTGCTTTACATATATCTTATTTAATCCTCACAATGACTTGATGAAGTAGGTCCTGTTATAACCCCCATTTTACAGATGAGGAGACTGAAGCACAAAAAGGTTAAGTAATTGTCAGACTCACAGCTTTAAAAAAAAATATTTTTATTCATTTCAGAGTGGAAGGGAGAGATAGAAACATCAATGATAAAAGAGAATCATTGATTGGCTGCCTCCTGCACGCCCCCTACCAGGGATTGAGCCTGCAATCAGGCATGTGCCCTTGACTGGAATTGAACCCAGAATCGTTTATTCCGCAGGCCAACACTCTATCCACTGAACCAAACCAGCCAGGGCTGGACTCACAGCTTTTAAATGGCAGATTCAGAAATTGAACCCGGACTGCCTGGTTGCAGAGGTACAGCATTATGATGTGTACATGACATCAGGCATGGAAAGAAGCTATTCATAACTTGTTGACTAGGTAGGCTCACCCTATAATTCCTCCACCCAACAGCACCAATATTTTGGTGTATCATTAATACCTTTTCTAATCTTAAGTGTATTTGTTGGACTTTGGCCACACGTTGCTGGAATTTACTTGGAATGACAATGTATAGCTTCTTCTCTTGCTAAATAGTGCTTATTCTTCTGCACCACTATGTCATCTTTGCTCTTTCTAGCTTCGTTGATTTGTTTTTAAATATGTGAGAAATATGGTTGGAAAATGAGTGATGGAACAGCAGGAGGAGGGGATGGCAGTTAAATACAGGAAGGGTGTTCATTCAAGAAAGAATCCAAGTGTCACTGTCTTGGAATAGGCAAAGATTTTTAAGATTGTGAAGAGAGTCTTATGTTTTCTTGATGTTTTACTATTTCATCTTTTGTATTGAAGTTTGTTTTATGTATATGGTATGAAGAGGATCAGTTAGAAAACTAAGTTTAAAAAAATAACCATTTACAATATCATCAAAGAACACTGAACACCTAGAAATAAATCTCAAGATGTTTGAAAAAGGGGAAAGATGTGTAAAAACTAATATTATAAAGTATTGCTGAAGGAATGAAAAGACTTAAGTAAATGCAGGATAAGTAAATGCGTGACAATATGTCAGTTTTCTCCACATTATTCCAAAGATTGAATACAGTTCCAAAGAAAAGCTCAGCAGTGTTTGCGTGTGTGTGAAGTGTGAGTGTGTGTAAATTAAGCTGATTTTAAAATGTATGGGAATGTAAAGGATCAAGAAAGGTGAAAATAAGGAGTTTTAAAAGCATGGTTCGTGTACTCTGGAGTGTCCCTCTAACCAAGCATGTGCCCTGACCAGGAATTGAACCGTGATCTCCTGGTTCATATGTCGAGGCTCAACCGATGCACCACACTGGCCAGCAGGGCTCTTTGTCTTTTCTTAAATTTTCTGATTTTGGTTCTGAGCTAAGTCTGACTTTTATCTTTTAGCTCATCTACTGATACTTTAATTACTTAGTGTGCTTAGGCTCATAGGGTTGCTAGTAGCACAACTAGAGGGAAAATATAGTAAGTGGGGAAAAACCATATCCCAGTTTAACATTTTAAAGTTAATATTTTTATACACACTTTAAAAAAATGTGGTGGTTACACTATATAATCTTCCCTTTGAAATGATCAATTTATTCCCTATGGGTTGAAGTGTTTCCTTCTCTAACCAAAACCACAATGCAGAAAGGCCCTGGGCTAGATGGAAGT